ATTTTAAGCTTCTTTTCGCCGGCGATCGAGCAATCCATTGGGAGTTCCGCGCCAATAGATGCCCAGCTGGCGGGCGCCACAGAAAAGGGAGAAATGGAGCTGTGAAAAGGCCGTTCCTTGCGTAGAGTTTTTATCGGCGATGCCAAACCTCCTTGGTTTCTTATCAACAAAGGCGTGGAGCTTATCCCGAGAAAGTGGCGAGACGCAGAAACCGGCGCGTAGCGGCGGCTCAGGCGGGGAACTTACTCACCTAGTCCATCTTACACGCCCAGATGTTTTCAAAGATTGCGAGGCGAACGCGTAGGCGGAAAACGCGGAGTCGAGGTATATTGGCCACCAGGAGGGCGGCTCCCGGTCAGTCGTGCTTGGAGCTTTGCTGGCGGCGCACGTCGTTGTTGCTATTGTTTTTTACCGAGTCCTTTGGCGCAGCTCATATGAGTCCATTGCTTTAGAGAAGTTTGGAGGCACAATACCAAAGGGTAAACGCCCGTAGCTCACAAAGAGGCATGCCAGCTGCTTTGTGCGACCCGCGCGAGCGCAGGGGAATCAAGCTTCGAGGGCGCAGTATAAGGCCAAACTCGTCTGTTGCCGTTGCGGGCGGCTTCAGCGCGGCCGCCGGCCCAACTTTGTTTTTAACGGGGGCAGGGCGTTTGTACACCCAGGCCGCGGGCGCGCAAACCAAAGGGATGCGAGCGCTGCGCAACGGTGGTTTTTTGTGGTGTCAGAGAATTGGGTGTCCGAGCAAGTTGGTGAGAGGAGTGGTTCTACTTCCTCTTGCGTCGCTTCTTTTTTTTCTTTCGGGAATAGGGCGGGGAGGGGGGCGGCGGGCCATTTTGGTTTGAGCGTTCCCCAGCGGCAATTCTTTATTTATATCTACGTGTTTCTGGTGTTTGTAATTGCTCATGTCAAAGGAGTGGCCTTTTTAAAATTTGCCTGGGAGGTCGCATTATGAAAGAAGAGTAACTCTGGCAAAGAGGGGACTATTATTATTATTATTATTGGGCGTTGCATTTTCTGAGTCACCGGTAGTAAATTTAGTGTTTGTTTTTGATTGCAAAGGGTTTCCATGGACACACAAACCTGTTCTTTCTTTTGTTTTTAAACGCTTTCTTTGCTTATTGTATATAACTAACTACATGAGTGTGCGTTAAATAATAGTAATAATGGTAATTGCCTTTTTTTTTGTGCCACTCGATGCTTTACTTCCTTATTAGATTTTGGTTATGCAATGGCGTGTTATTCGTTTTTTAAATCACAAGGTTGATTAATAATTTTTTTTTTAATTCCTTTTTTTTTGTAACTCAAGGAAGATATACGTGTTTGACTTGAGAGGGGCTGAAATTGCCAAAGGCGCTAGTGGATTATTAGTTAGATAGCTTAAATGCGGTTTTCACCCCATTATCTTACGCCTGCGCTGTCGAAGGCGACGCGGCTTCAGCTAGGAAATATAAAGACAGAGTATGACTACGTTTCAGCAGTAGCTGGGTCCCAAGAAAAATGGGGTTTTATATTCAAGGTAAGGAGGTATCCACTTCTCAGCTGTGCTTACACGTTATGCTTAATGTCTGTTGCCATTGGTGTTGTTGGGACATACCAGCAGTATCGTGATATGGTAATTATGACAGAACACATTTCGTATGAGGACGTGAAGGACCGCTGTCTAACCCCGATTCCAGGTTGGGCTCGCATCCGAAATGTGCAAATAGCTAGTCCTCTTGGCCCAATGACATATCGAGACCCTACACCACTTGATTGGCTTCCGTTTGAGCTGAAGCTTGGTTATGTGAAGCAGGCTTCGTATTAGAACTTCAGAAATTTAGTGATATTTTCGGGACTTTTAGGATGGGTGGTGAGGGTGGAACGGATGGTGTTTGGGGTATAGGTTAACAGTTTAAAAGTAGAACACGGAAAAGAAAATAACTTTTCCGTTGAGTTGCTGTAGCAAATAGTTTTTGCTTTCTCATGATACGAGCTTTTTGGATACTATATATATATATATATGTTTGTGATCGCTTTTTTGTCTGTTTTTAAAGAACATTTGAGTGGCCTTTGAGGTGTCAGGCGGATACAAAAAATTAAATAAAAAATAAAATTACTATTATAATAAAAAGGAAGTGCGGCTTTAACATTTATTATTATTATTTTTGTTTGGGCTGTAATCTTTTCTTTTGATTTATCTTTAACAAAATTTAGAAATTATGGAGTTGAGGGTGAAGGTGCAGCGGAAAGGACGCGGTGGCGAATGTGTTATTCAGTTTCGTGCGGGAAAGATGATTTTTAAGGAGGGCAAAGTCGAACCGGATCGCCGCAGAGGGACTTTGTCGTTTTTTAAGATGCCGAACAATGACGTGAAAATGACGTGGATTTCAGGAAGCGAGGAAGAGCAGCACATACTCCCTCGAGGAGAAGTGAAGTTCAGTCAAGTAGAAAAATGTACTACAGGAAGGGTGTTTTTGTTCGACTTTGGTACTAAACAACCCCCAATTTTTTTTTGGCTTCAGGAAAAATCAACTGAAAACGATTCCGTATATCTTTCTACAATACACGAACTTATTGGAGAAGAGAATCGACCGAATGTTCGAACACGAGCTGAACTTGACGTTGTCCTCCAGGATATTCTTCGAAGTATGCGGAATGGTAGGGAACAAGATGTAGATTTGGTTGATATCATTGGGTCAAAGAAACTTCTTGACGCTTTACATGAAGATCCTGCCTTTTTCATGTTCAAGCTGCACCAGTTTCTCCCCGAGGGGACCGATCCAACGGTGGATGTAGTGGAACAGGTGAGAAATCCACAGGTTTCTGCTGCAGCAGCTTCTTTGGGTTCGGCCCTTCGTAATCCTCTTGGATTCCGTGAAATTTGTACGGCCTTTGGGGTTAGTGGATCCAATCCGAGCGTTTTTGGGTTTCTTTCTGGAGTTATTAAGCTTTTTAAGAAGTAATCAAAAAAAAAAACAACAACAACAGAGTACTTATTGTGAACTGCTGTTTCTGGCAGTTTTTTTTTTGCCTCGTATATAAAGGAAATAATTTGACTTGGAAGATGAACTTTTGGGGGATATGATTGTTTTTTTCTTGATGTATTTTGCTTTTTGCTCCTTTTTTCTTTCTTAAAATTCCTGTGCGTGAATTTTAAAACAAAAAAAGTCTATAGATCTGTTTTTAATAGGAGATTTGCTGCCATTGTCTTTTTATCGTAGGAAATGTATTCATCTTTTTTTTATGGGTGGCGAGCTGGATGCTCATCGATACGAGCAGACAACTTTTCACGAGGGGACGCATCGACAAGCTCCTGGTGATTCAACTCCATGGAGGGATTTTTCTCCTCCTTTGAATCGGTTTAAAGGATGGTGGCTAGCACCTGCAGCCAAAGGAAGCATGATTGCAGCTTGGTGTTTGACAGTAGTTATTGGTGCATATTGTTTTTCTATCCAACAAGATGCCAAAGGAACATATTTACTTATTAATGTTTTATTGCGTACGTTGCATGAAGAGGCATTACGAGCCGATGCCAACCAGGAACGTGCATTAGAACTGAAGTAATCAATGGAAAAAAAAATTTACAAGAAGAAGGACGGGGCCAAGAAAAATTGCAGGCTATAAAAGGCTTTGACGAGTATAGCGAGTTAATTAAGAAGGGGTTAATTAATTATGAAGTGGAGCTTTCTCAGGAGAGTGCGAGAGCCGACGCCGTGCACGCTCGCAATCAGGATTTGGTTAGTGAATTACACGGCGTTCGCCAAGAATTAACTTGGGTTAAGAAAGATAATACCACCTTGTTGGCGGAACTTGCAAAGTTTCAAAAGCTTTCGAGAAGTGTTGTTTGATATTATTATTATTATTATTATTATTATTATTATTATTTTGCAAGACGTTGACGAGTGAGTTCTATTTTTTTTTTGGTTTTAATAGTTGGATATCTCTTTCTTTTTCCTCCAACTCCACATATGCTATTACATATTATTGCCTTTATCCTTTTTCTGAATTTGCTTGACGACGTCTGTTTTTTTTTGTCTTATTTTTCCTTTTTAAATAAATAAATAATGCATTATTGAGAATGAGCTTGAGACGGCCAGACAGTGTCTGCAAAAATGAGAAAAAGGGCGGAATTCCTCAAGGTCATTCAAAAAAAATCATGATGCGCGAGAGCCACAAATTGCCCGAGTTTTTGTGCAATCATCCTGTGACCGCTGTAGGTCCAAATACACAACAAAGTCAAGTTGCGTGCCTTTTATTTCCAAAAAAAGTGATGGATATGGGGGTGACGACGTATGAAGGAGATTATGTGAAATATTCAATTAATTCTCGGTTGAAGAGGACAATGGTGCCGCAGACAAACATAACAGCAGGGCCGCGAGAGACTGGGGGAACAACAACATATCGTGAAATGATCAATCCAGTGATAAGGGCCATTCGACGCCATGAGGTACAGCGGACTTTTCCTTTGAAGCCTATCGAGAGAAAGCTAAGTATTGCAGTTGCTGGGTCTTCTTCAGAGTACCGGGATGCATTTAGAAAGAAACCTCTTGTATTGGAGCTACATGTAAAGCCAGCTGCGAGAATTAATACCATTCCATTTCGAGGGACAACTACAATGAAGAGTGATTTCAAGTTCATAAAGCAAAATCCGTCCGCTTCAAAACCAAATGAAAAAATAGGAGTAACACCTGAGAGTCGAAATTTTAGAACAACGTACCATTCGTATTATAAAAAGCCTCTTTACCCACTTCCTTCCGCTTTTGCAACCTACATTAGACCATGGACAAGCAAGTGTGACTGATATCTTAATGGTTTAAACTGGATTGCACAAGATGAGGGCATATGTACAATAACACGTTCAATGAGAAGCGCCGTTGGGTTCCTGTGCTGCATTTTTTTTAAAAAATTATTTTTGTTATCATTGCACTTTGATAATTGTGGGGTTCACCTTCGTTATGGAGGGGTAGGGAAGAAAATAGTTTTTATTTATTGAATTTATTTTTGTATTTCTGCATATATATATATATTTGTACAGCTATCTATGTATCTGTCTACATATTTATTTATTATTATTACTTTTGACGATTCCTTAGACAAACGTATGTGCATGCTGCCATTTGTTTTTTGTTTTTGTTTTGCCCTAATCTAACTTAAAAGGGGTTGCCGTTGTATATATTTTTTGCTGGTCAGTTGGGAATGCTTGCCACGTTGGGAACATGGGATGAGGGAATCCGAACATTCCTTCAAGAGGCAGCCCAAAAGGGTCCTCAACCTTTGGATATGGACTATGAAGAGAGGAGGCGAATGACGCACGAACCTCGTGTACGACGTCAATTAGAACTAGAGGACCAATGGAAAGGCACTTTTATGGAAGGGATATGGAAAGGAATGCGCCGTTTTGCACGTCCTGTGGACGATTACAAGGTATCGGAGAATCGTTTTTATGAATACCTCGTTTCAGTAGGTATTTCAAGTGAGTTTTTAGGGAATAAACTTTATAAGGTTTTCCAATCAGAGGCATGCCCTGAAGTTGATTTTCTCCGTGTTTGCAAAGCGATCCATCTAGGTTTGACAGAGATTGGTACATCCTTCAAATTTCTCGAACACTGTTACAAGTCCCTTGCCCAAGGTCCCGTTTCCGAAGAACTGGATTGTGCTACTGTCATGCGTGCATGTGAGTTGCAGCGTCGCATGAATGCCCAAAAGACAGCATCAACGGCCTTGGAGTTGAAGTTGCAACAACTGGAGGGCGTTTTGCAGTATTTTGAAGAGACAGGGGAGACGAGCGTTGACATTGGCGTTTTCCGTTTCATGTTCTTTGAAGAAAGGTGGCGTTATTGGGCGGGAACTTTTATCAAACCATTACTTGAAGCAGCTGCAAAGTACTTTAGCTTTCCATACGGTGTTTTCCCTACCATTCCTTTGCGGTGGACGAAGACGACTGAGCCTCTGTCTTACGACAGCCATGAGGTGTACGATGCCGATTCTCTTCTTCTTAGAAATGTCGAATTAACGGGAGGTGATAATACTATCAAGAAAAAAAAAAGCCGGAAAGGTCTTAGTACTTCATCTTCAAGGAAAAAGTGAAATATTGTCGGCTTCCACCTACAGGCACGTGCGGTGGAGGGAAAGCGAAACAAAGCAAACAAGCCGGTGTACTATTTCTCTGTTGGGCTCCCGCGGAGGATATATTTTTTTCACTCCCCCCTTTGCTTTCTAAACCCTGGAATGGGGGTGTCATGTTTGTATACTATAGTGGCGTTTTTTTTTTTTTGCTTTTTTTGTGAATGACAAACCTTTTTTTTACCCCCTCCAATCTTCTCCTTACTTCACCATCTTCCTTTTGTGCTGGACGTTTGTGATCGACGTCTTTTTTTTTTTGCCTTTTGTTTTTCGCTTTCTCCTTCTTTTCAGTAATAACCAAGCAAGATATGCAGGACTACCGCGCCGAAATTCAGACCATGGCGCGAGCGTACCAGTATCGACTTCATCCTTCTGCATTAAAGGGCTTTTCGGACCATCTTTCAACTACAGGCGGGAACAGTGAAAAGCGACGAGATGCACTCCGAGATATCTTTGCGATTCTTCATAAGCTGTGTGCAGTGGACCGATTTGTGGATGATAAAAGAATGCGCTTGGCCATTACGCAGCAATCGGTTAGAGACAGAGGAGCTTCTGAGCGGGAAGGTGCCCCAACTGTGATTCCAATTCCCTTGGAGGACATGCCCCAGGTGTATATGGATGAGCGAACCGGTGAGGTAAAGGTGGAGTGTACAGGGCGTGAGAGCGATCGTTTCACTGTCCTGCGGCAACGCTATTTATTTGCGCAGAGGCGTTGTCTAAGAAGTGGCCTGTTTCGACGGGATCTCAGCAAACAATCTTTGAATCAGGATCTTCCCCCCTTACTTCCAATTATAGCGCTTGAGGGAATAGATGCCTCAGAGCACGTGGCAGTGTTAGGAATGATTGTTAGGCGTCTTGATGAGACTCATCTGGAGGATTTACATGGTCAAGTTAGACTCGTATTTCGGGATGCGGTGCCTTCCCTTCTTGGTGTCGTGGGGGATGGTTTTTTAGTGGTGGTACGGGGACAGTGGTCTAATAGCGTTTTCATGGTTACCAGCATAGAGCTTCCCCCCGCAGAGAGGCGAGAGGACACCCTTCGAGACATAGGTGCAGATTACGATCTTTTTGGCTACAGACCGACGGATATGGCAGCTGCACAGCTGCAGGAAAAAAATTCACTTCAGTCTGTAGTTATTGTAATGTCGCACGTTTACCTCGATCAACCATCAACCGTGCATAAATTAGTCCACTTTTTCAAGGAGATGCAACATCGGACCGAGAGTGAACTCATGCATACAACCTTGGTGATGGTGGGTGACTTTTCCTTTTCGACGACGCAGTACGGCGATATTTCTCATCTTCCCGACCCATTTGAAGGGGCGGATCGCTACAAACTTCTCATGGATGCCCTTGCTACAGTGATTGCGACACATGCCCCAAGTCTTGCGCAGCATACGCAGGTTGTCCTTGTTCCCGGGCCCAACGATGTGACGGGACTCCTAGGCGTTTTGCCGCAACCTCCCATTGTGGGTGCAGTCACGAGGAACTTGCAGTCACGTCTTAAAAAAGTTGTTTTCGCCTCAAATCCGTGCCGTTTGCGTTTTTTTACGCATGAGATGGTCGTGACTCGCCGAAACTTTTTTAGATCACTTCGAGAGAGTGGACGTGCTTTTAATTGGTCCACCGTGGACGCCCCCAATTCAATCACAGCCTTTGAAAGTGTTGCAAAAACTGTCGTGGACGAGGCCCATTTGGCACCGGAAGTGAAGGAAGGGATTTTGTGGAAGGCGGATGGGGCGCTCTCGTTGCTGACGCTTCCACATCTCCTTGTCCTGTGCGACAGCACCGAGCAGTGGGAGTGCACGTACAAGGGGGTTCGTGTCGTGAATCCGGGTTCGTTTTCCCTCGCTTCAACCTTTCTGTGGTATACCCCCTCCGACGGCGAATGCAGTCTCAGTAGCGTCGAGTGCTGACCTTCACAGAACCTAATATATATATATATATATATATATATATATATATAACACCGACAACTCTGTGGAATTTGAAACCTTTGTGCGTGTCATTGTGTATAATGAGCAGGCCTCTACAGTATTCTACATTAACTTTTTTTCTTCTTTCCGTGTGGGACGGCGGAGTGTAGTTTTAGTTGTCGTAGCAACTGGTGTATGAAGCGGGCGCGGGAGGTGTACGCCGGGGGGAGTGAGGAGCGGTGCAAAAAGATTGTGGACTTTATTTGCTCGCTACAGTTCTCAGTTCCACTTTACCGGCTGAGGCAGCAAGAAGGGCGGAATCGTTGCGCAAAGTGCGGGAAGCGCCGGCAGTATTACTGTTACGACTGCCTGACTGTCGTGCATCCGGCGAGTCATCCTCCGCCGCTTTC